ACTTTTCTTTTTGTCAGGTCGTCTGACTTCATGGTTCATCCTCCGCTGTTGTTTATCAGTGTGATATAACAGGCGAATCACAAACGGAACTCATTACTCTTTATTTTTGTGGAGTACTTTTTGTCAGGTCGTCTGACTTCATGGTTCATCCTCCGCTGTTGTTTATCAGTGTGATATAACAGGCGAATCACAAACGATGGTGAACTCATTAAAGTCTACGTTGTACCTTTTTCGCTTTAGCTCTTCAGAACAAGTGTGACCCACTGTTTTTCCTTATTTACCGGATATACACAGTAAATCCATTCGGATGTCAGAAAGGTGCGTGCCATTTTTGGTGTCTTGTTACGTTTATCAAACGTTCATGACCGAATTTCCCAACCAGTTGATGTTGTGCAGCGCTGTCCCAAATTCTAGCCACCCAAGTGCTCGCTAAATTTATCCACATCAATGGACAATCTCATCTGGGCTATTGAAATTTGATGTGTGGTATGTCTGAGAATCCGATGGGTGGTTTCGCCTATCTGGTTGTCAGATTCTCCCCGAACATCCACCAAAGGCTGCTTGCCAAAGAGGGCTTTTCGACACCTTAAGGAAATGTCTGTAAACCTAAACACCTTGAGGTCTTCTAAGTGTAGCTGTTTAGCTCAGCGAAATAACGTTAATTTAAACAACTGTTGACATGAATAGTGGATGCGAGGCCAGACAAAACAGCTCGTTTGTTTTCACGGAGTCTTCCTCGCCATCGCCCACTTGAGACTGATTATTGTTGCCCTGCCTTGACTGTTCATTTATACGAGACTGTCCTAGTTTGATTCCATCCGGACTTTTTTATCGCACCTATTCAGACTTCTCTCCAGGAGAGGTGCATTGCAACTGTACTAAAAGGATGCTACAACTAAGTAATTTGAGTTTGCTTTCGTTTTTGTTTCTTTCATTGGGTCGTAATCTAGACAGCCCTCCTGTCTTGTTCTTTATGTCTAGAGTTGAAAAGCTTCCCCTTCCTTCATATTTTAACGTTTTTAGTCCTTACTGACCCTTCCATGGTAACCCTTCGTGACTTGTGTCCCGGGGAAGACTGCCTTTATGTTCGCTGTACCTCCGAGTCATAACACCTATCTATCGCTCAGGCAGCGCGCATTTGAAAACACAAATAGTATTGATAGTATGCACATCAAATGAGATGAAAAAGTAGCAATTCCTTATAAGCGCTAGGCTAACAAAGCACTACAGTCCTAATGAGAAGCAGCGCTAAGCAATGAAGAAGTGGTGCTATTAGAAACAGTCAAAATAGAAATGTTCGTTTGAAGACATCTTTCATAACACCATTTAGAGTTTGCTACTACTTCAATTTTTTTTTCAAAATCTTCATAAGTCCTTCTCTGGAGTATTGTTGTCATGTATAGCGCCGAGCCCGACCGTCTTGCCTTTCTCTAGTTAATTTTACGCCCAACTGTAGCGCGCACTGTGACCAATAGCTTGCAAAAGCCTACAGTCGTTGATTGACTTCTGTTGCTTTGTTCTGCTGTCACCATATCTTCTTCGTAATCCACTCGTCAACTAGCCTAGAAACCAACGGTCTAGGGTATCTCGATCGCATATTGGATTCGTAGTAAGTTTTCACAAGAAATGTCAGTAAGCGTCTTCAAAACTTACTGATTGTTGTTAGCTGTTGTACTCACATCGAGACTGTTCAGAATGTTTGGATAAGGAAATTTGGAAAGAAGTCTTACTTGTCCAGGCGCATCTTGACCGTTTCTGCCGGGTAGTCGGTGTTGCCTGAAGCCTTATCTGGATCCCGCCTTCGTACCCCGGTGTTTCTAAGTTAACATTGTCGTAAGACTTAAGGCTGCTGACCAGCCATTGGCTTTTTGTGCATCGGCTGTGGACACCTGACCTTCCTTGTTCGAATTCGAATAATTTGATGTGTTGTCGACTTACCAGGGCTTCTTTTTATTAGCTCGCTGTTTGTTTTGACCTTCCTCTGGATCACTGTAGAGAAGGAGGGATAGATCTGCGTGGTCGTGGCCGCGGTGGTGGAGGTCGTGGCCGGGGTCGTGGTCAGAGTGATGAGTCTGGTGGGTAAGTCATCATATATTATGGGTTATGGTTGTTGCTCTTAAGTGAAGTTGCCTGCGAGTCTTTGGTGACTTGATTTTCGGACTCCGGGCTTCAGCGCCAGTTAGAGAGCATCACGTCTGGGCACAAAGTCCTGAAAATCCGTTTACCCCGTCACGACTGAAAATTGATGCATGCAGCGGCCAACGACTTCATTTTCTATGTGCAACTAGAACTGATGTGAAAGCGCTCACACTCTTCTCACATATACACCACGTAGTTCGAGGTTTCAATTGGAGGCCAGTCATAACATCTACTTCGAATGTCAGAAGACCGTGTACTTCGTAGAGCTCTTTTTGCCGAGCCCTGTGTGTGTGTGTGTTTGATTGGGTGGCCGGTAGTTTATTAGCCCAACAGTGAACCATGAAAACACTGATCAGTAAACTCATTCGGGTTCACGGTTGACATTTGTTTGAGACCCCGGAACTTAACTCGTCAGTGGCTAGTGACACTGGCAGACATTATCCAATCACACAGTCGATGGCGCTCGTGTATCTGATCTAACGTCTTCAGTAGTTTTCCTTTTCTACAAACAACTGGAATGAATCAAAACCAGCTAACTGATTATGCCGTCGCCCCCTAGTGCCAGGCTCTCATCTTATGTAACGGAAATTGCAATGTCTGTAACCAACCTACTCCCGGTGCATGGTTAGTAGCCGATAAACCGAACTTGGAATACTGACTCAATTGATTGCGCTATTTGCTGTTCCCTCTTAACGAGCGTAACAGAGCTTGAGTGTTCCCGATGCTCACACGGTTAGAATACAGCGCAGCTATATGTCACGGTCTCTTTTGAATTCGGATGTTGTCAGAGGGGATCGTTTGTGAGGACCAGACCCGTCTGACTGCTAGTTGTAATAATAGGTTGATGACACAAAGAAGCATGTATTGATCACATTGAACTATTGGTACGTTGCGTTTTCCTATGTAACAAAAACCCTACGAATCACTGTCCAACCTTACTATCTTCTGCTGGATGCCAATTAGGATAGAGAAAGTTCAAGTGACACGAAGTGTTCAGTCGTCCATCGAACGTGGGTTCAAAAAATTTTTTTAAACTAACCACTTGTAAATTCAAAATAGTTGATTTTAGCAACTGTGATCAGGCTTCCACGTCAGAATAAGACATGTGGACGGTGCTAAACGAACGTAACGTTGATGAGCGGCGATGGACCAGTCATTCACTCTCGAAGTCTTCCTCTGTTCCTGTACCATACTCAACATGCTCCGTTCCTCAGTCCAACTTACGTACCCTTGTCACCACATCAGTCCTCATTAGTATATTCATCTTCGCCTGTTTTCGCTTAACGAGTTCTTTTTACGATCCTTAACACTGTTTCATCAAAATATCTATTTCACCTTTTCGTTTGCGTTCTCCGTTCTTGTTCTTGTTCTCTCTTTCTATTCATACTCTACTTGCAGTGGACACGGATTTCGAGGGCGTGGCCGTGGTCGAGGATATGGTGATAACGTTGGCGAGTAAGTTCCTCATGACTGTCGTCATCATCCAGAACTCAATGTTCAGTATACGTCTTGAAATGTTGCAATGTAAGCTTGTTCCAGAAGGCCAGATTTTTCATACTCTGACTACAATTTCATCTGTGGTTAAACCATGCGTCATATGTCGTCTGGTGACGTTGCCTCGTTCAACCAGTTCTTACCGAGTCAGTCCACTAAACCTGCATGCGGTGTGTTTTCAATCCCAGTGAATGAATTTTTTGAAAACACTGGGCATTGTCTAGACTCGCGGTCCATTCCATAGTGCCATATTTTATGCTCTGTCAGAGGACAAAGAAGGCATACAAAAGGAAGCAGTTATACACCAGTTACCCTCCAACCTGTCCCAACTCATCTGAAAGCTGCTTTTGCCTCCCCCGGTCGTCAGAAATTGGTGGTAGCGTCTGGCGATGAAGGACGTCTCCTCGAAATTCTTGTTTGACATTGAACCCTTGTATGCCTTGTCCTGTGGACACGTACATTTATACAGCAAGTTCTCTCTCGAGTTCACTACTTCCAGTACTATTGAGCAAGGGTTGGCAGGGTGCATCTAACTTTATGGGCTCCTTTTATCTATCGGAGCTTGTAGTGTAACTTCACCGACCAGTAATTTGATTTCGAAGTGCCGCGATAATAAACATAGAGGTGACTGAAGAGTCGTTGGTCGATATTATCCGTTCCGAAAAGTGAGTCCGCTGATCGACTGTTTATCCGAACGTGATCTTTCTCTCCACGTCTATTTTATATTGTGTCTCACATGTGATTGCTTCTTGTTGTAACAAACAGCATTTCTCACTTCCTGCAATCCGACTGTTAATTGAATTAATGGAATTTTGCTTCTAGTTTGCTCGTGGAGATTGGCAACTTGCATGGAAGCCTCACTTGGACTCATGATGAGATAGAGGCATCTTTTTGACCAGTTCTAAAAAACTTTCAGGATTGAAGGCCTACTCGAGGTTAAGCGTGCTATCAACAAACTGCTGTCTAATTGAGTGACACTGACGGCTAGCGATGATGACTTCACGAACCGATTGATTGCAGCGCCTGTTCGTTCTTACTGCCTGGAAATCACAATCTCCGCGGCTATTCCCGCTATTCCACATTAGCTTTGGGGGCTCCAGTTCACATGTAGTTGACTGATGACGAAAGTGAACAACTTAGTCCGGTCAGTGCGACAAGATCGACTCTAGAAAGGTAATGAAATGGCGATCCCGACGAGCTCCTCGTTGAGCATCACTGCAATGGACGGATCTCCGTAGAAGCATTGTGTCTGGTGAAATTGTTCCACTTCTGGAAGAGTCAAGGTTGTTGGGCTGTCACGGGTTACGGCCAGAGGTAGTTCTCGATCTGTCTCACGAGTAACGCCTGAAAGGTGGGGTGCCTGAAATCAGGTTCTGAGAGTTCTCTCGAGAATCGATTGTATACGCTGAAGCAGGAAAGCAAGAAGTTTATGTTGTTTAACAAAGGGTGCCTTATTACGAAAGTGAAAACGACATTGGAGGAATATCTCGACGTAAGCGTCCTGCTCACTCTTTGAGGGTAAACTATGGATGCGTGGTTTAGCGAATACAGCGAACTGAGTCGGCACAATCGATCGGATCCGCTTTTATGTAACACATGAGTCTCTCGACTATACAAACCATGTTTCTGGATATGCCAGTGGTTGAGTGTTTGGTGGGGTGTGGTTCGAAAGCAAGAAGTTTATGTTGTTTAACAAAGGGTGCCTTATTACGAAAGTGAAAACGACATTGGAGGAATATCTCGACGTAAGCGTCCTGCTCACTCTTTGAGGGTAAACTATGGATGCGTGGTTTAGCGAATACAGCGAACTGAGTCGGCACAATCGATCGGATCCGCTTTTATGTAACACATGAGTCTCTCGACTATACAAACCATGTTTCTGGATATGCCAATGGTTGAGTGTTTGGTGGCGAATCGTGTAGTTCGATCGTCTGCGTTCCTACTACCTACCTTTACCATCATACTGGGCCGTTACAATTGGAGGTTGACCTCCACTAAATTTTCGGTCAATAATTTTCAAAATTGACGAGGTGCGCTTCTCACTAAATGTCAACTTGCTTGTCCTTGTTTTCTTTTCGCCGCCACCCTTATTCCTGTTCAGTTTCGCCCGTAGCTTTTTCTCAGGCTTTATGAACGTTTTTTTGCTTACAGTGGATACGGATTTCGTGGACGTGGTCGCGGTCATGGACCTGGAGATGGCACCAGCCGGTAAGTATGACACTACCGTTTTAATCCCCTCACACGCCAAATTGTTTCAATTTTGCCTAAAACAATAAAAGTGTTGGTTCATGGGTTGTTTTCAGCACTCCATACCGAGTCTGTATTGACAGTCGCCCAACCTGTCGTCTCCGATGTTAATTGGCAGTTAATTGGCGGTCTCCTGTCACACCAGTCTGTTGAATAGCCTATGTACCGTAGAATCCCATTTCGACTGACCTGCACTCACCATCATGGGTACAATCCAGCCTGTTATAGAATGATGATAATCTGTTGGGGAAGTGTGTAGGTGAGCTTTTTTCAGTACAAATGTTCCGGTGAAGGGCATCGGTATTTCTTATTCCTGATCCCAATTACGTAGCTAATTGGAACGCTACTAAACCTCGGATATCGGTTATATTTTGTAACCCACGCGGTTGGAGTCACAGCCATCAATTTGGGTGGTAGCTCTAGCCTCATGCACTCTATTTTAATCAATAACAATGATAATCCTTTATCACCTGGGCGTCAACACGGTCAAACCCAAATCATCTGGCCAAGTGTGTGATTCTGCATATCTACCAAATTAATCAGGGTAGCTGATGGCCTTTGATGATTTTTTTCGTGTAGTCTACCAATCGGTCAGGGCCTTGTCGTCCGCGTCCTGAGGTCAAAGGTAGTGCAGTCTTGGTTTGTGACCTCCATATTTTCTCTTTGCGCAGCTGTTCAGTCAAGTACTTTGGTGCATGCAAAACGAGTGTAGTAGGATTTGCTATAAAGTATGCACCATCCACTACTTGGGATTGTCAATCAAGGGTACTCCACTGGGATTCAAGCTAATAAAACTGATGTGCTCGAAGCAAAAATCGTGAAGCTCGGTGGCATCAAACTTCATGGTCGGACGTTTTGTCCTGCAACAGTGTTGTCACATGCCATTTCCGTCATAATTAGCTTTGCCTGATTGCCATTTGAACTGTCTCACACGCCCCTTACGAATTTACGTAATCCAGGCATACGTTACAGCCGCGCGTTTTCATCCTTCCTTAGCTGAAAACTTTCCCACCCTTTCCTGCATTGTACAGTCCGGATAACCAAGGATTTGAGAGGGGTCGTGGCCGTGGCTGGGGATCCGGTGGCGGGTATCGTGAGCAGATCAGTGAAGGAGATGCGTGAGTTCAATTTTATTAAGTGTTTGGCTGCTGTTGGTATACAGCGTGGGATACTGTTCAGGTTTCTGTGACTTGCATGCTGTAGTTGAGTAGCACTTCAATTCAGGACAAGCTCCGTGCATTCGAAGGCGAATTTCCAACGTTTTTTTATCCATATATGCAGCATTTGTTTACCACTCTTCCACCCTTTTCCAGGCGCAGTGTTGAAGTCCTTTGCTCCGAGCAACTCGTGTCCCCGGCAGCTCCCATACATGGTCAGGAAGCGTAAGTGATATATCTCGTTCGGTTGTTTCCTTGTACCGTTGCTGCACTGCTGTTCACCCGTGAGTAGTTTTTCAACTAGCTTATAGGACGGCCTTCTCAATCTGGTTGACTGGTGTTTTACTAGTTTCTTCTTTTTTCACGTCCTAATAAGTTAAAGGAATCTCTCTCTCTTCATCTACAGACTATGGATACCCGTCATCGTACAAGATATCTGAATTGCAATGGTGCCCCATCCCACTGTATATTGTAGCTCATGAAACTTGAGCGAAACATGGGTTGATGCGCAACCCTACTCATTCTGAGGCCGTGGAACTGAACAAGTGATCGACTGAGCTCCTAAAGAACTCGCGTTCCTTATCCGAGTCATCTTGTTCTCACGTGAACGATTTCACGGTCCTTTTGAGGGCCTACTTGGCGACTGATGACCACATCTGTGGTCGTAGAACGTTGAGTCAGCTCTTTTTAGAGCTAATTTAATGTATTGCTTATCTTCACGCCTTATTTGCTAGTTTAAAGTCTATGTTACTAAGCCTTATTACCGAAAGCCGGAAGGCGTGCGTTAGATGAGGAGGAACCGTTGTTCTGTAGCCCTTGAAGAATCGTGATGTTTAGTACCTTTTGAGACGTCCATTGCTTACTTCCTATACTGGAACAGGTATCCCATCAGAATGGACTCGTACTTGCACGTGCGTACGTCTAATGCGGGGTCCTTGATAAGAATAACAAGCACTTGCCACCTAGAGGGACGCTGGTGTAAATGCCTACTGATATGCTTTCTGGGCTGCGTAATTTGGTTGCCATCATTTCGTCACCCATCGCCAGTATGTATTTGGATAACTTTGCTTCTTATTGTAGGTCTAGATTGGTGTTGTGTTCATGTGCATTGAATGTATCTTCAAGTGACATTAGCGGTTTGGATTGCCGACGTGCAAATGGCCCTTGGGCTGGACCTTCCCAGCTCACCCGGTGAATTTCGTTCCGTTTGCTCCTCGGTTGGTCGTGACACTAAATCTGTTCCTCTGGTAGTGACTTCAATTTAGATTCTGTAGTCAGATTGATAACGTTTTGCGCATTATGGTGAGCGGTTTGGTTGCTTCTCCCTTTCAAGTGCTTGGTTGCGCACCAGGTTACCAGATTTTTCAGCACCAAGATGTTCACACTTTCAGTATTAAATTTTTATCCTTGATATCCGCACATCATCATCATCATTGTCAGCTGTAAGAACCACGTACTTGTCGTACAGTGGTTGTAGCTGCCACAGTTTCGTTCACCGATAATTTGGGGAGGTGCGGTAGGTAGCTGCGCTTTTGAGGCCGTAGCTGGTAAATTGACGTGTAACTAGATCACTGTCAGTGGACTGTTAAGTGTGGGAATTAGGAAGGGAGCCATGCATTGAAGGCACTAGCTTGGATGCATGAGCGCCATGGAGGGCGCGACTTGACAAGGTCGCTAACCGTTGACCCCTCTGGGCTCGGGGTCCCTGTCCAGGAAGACGGCAATGACCAGCGCAGCTGAGTTTGCTCAATGGCTTTTATACTTCGCTGCCAGGTCATTGTTTGACCGCCTCCGGTTTTCTACCATCCTTCACGTGGTTGTGCGAGAAGAACCCTATAAGGAATTCCGTCGACCGGCATACACAGCGCTTGGCCAAGCCAGCGCAATCTATGCAGTGTGATCAGTTCATCTATCGAGGGTGTTATTTCTTCCGAATACTTTTAGACGTACTTCAGCATTGCTTATCCGGTATTCCCACCAGATTCGGGCAATGCTCCGAAGACATCGATGTTCACACGCTGCAAGTCTTTTGACCTCCTCGGCACGCAGCGGCTGGGTTTCTGACCTGTATAGTTATATGGAGCGCACCGCATCATTGTAAGCTCGACCCTTGACAGAGAAGCTGATGTCAGGCGTGCGCCACAGGTGACGTAGGTTCGCAACAGCTGCTCTGGCCTTCTTAATCCGGATGGGAATATCATTTTTCGCGAGACCAATGGGACTGATACAGCTGCCCAGGTAGACATACTTGTCTACTATCTCAATAGGTTCTGCAAGCATGAGACTAGGATTCGAGCCCACCCAGTCTTGCAGTAGCACTGCAGGTCTGAAGCGCATGCCAAACTGTGAGGCGGAATCACTCATATTTAGTATTGTTTGAATTACCACGGGGTCAGATCCAAGAAGAGCTATGTCGTCCGCGTACTCGATGTCTGTGAGCTGAGGCCCAGGGAGCACTTTGATCCATATAGACATCAGAGGCTGGTAGTGAGTCTTCCATGATTGTATCAGTGACGAATTCGAAGAGGAAAGGTGAAAGAGGACAGCCCTGTCTGACACCACTGGATGTGGTGAACTCAAAAGAGAGCTTCCCGTAGACCTTTATACGGCCACGGGAGTTGGTGCATGGCGTCCTAAGGAGGGTTAAGAATTTGTGAGGGTTGCCTCTGCTCCACAGACACCGCCATATTGCCTTGCGGTCCACACAGTCGAAGGTAGCTTTCACATCGAGGAACGCAACCACCGTTGGCTACTGGAAGCAGTGTCGCCGTTCCAGAGTCTGTCGGAGGGTGAAGACACGATCGACGCATCCTTTTGCAGGCAGAACCCAACTTGGTTTTCACGGATGTCTCTCCCTGTGTTCAGTCAACTTTCGAAGGATAGGGCCAGAGAGCACCTTCAATGCCACGGTTGTTTTCACACAGCGTCCGCGTACCCTTTTTGAAGATAGGGTTAACTGTCGACACGCCCCATTCCGAAGGCGCCTTTTCTTCGTCCCATATAGAACCAATAAGCTTTGTCAGATGGGTAACCAGGGCTTGTCCGTCTTCTTTGAAGAGCGCTGCATACAGACCATCCAGTCCTGGTGCCTTGTCCCGTTTCAGTACGGGTATTTCGTACTTCATTTCTTCTTCCGACGGGCTATCAAGATTTACATTCCATTCGCCTGTTTGCATATATCCGCAGGCTGTGTTGCAGGAGGCCAGCTGAACTCTTTCAAAGTGTTCGACCCATCTTTCCAGTCAACGTCTTTGTGAGTGAATTAATGACCCATCTTTTTCACTTATCGTTTCGCTGATCGTTGGTCCGCGTACTCGATGTCTGTGAGCTGAGGCCCAAGGAGCACTTTGATCCATATAGACATCAGAGGCTGGTAGTGAGTCTTCCATGATTGTATCAGTGACGAATTCGAAGAGGAAAGGTGAAAGAGGACAGCCCTGTCTGACACCACTGGATGTGGTGAACTCAAAAGAGAGCTTCCCGTAGACCTTTATACGGCCACGGGAGTTGGTGCATGGCGTCCTAAGGAGGGTTAAGAATTTGTGAGGGTTGCCTCTGCTCCACAGACACCGCCATATTGCCTTGCGGTCCACACAGTCGAAGGTAGCTTTCACATCGAGGAACGCAACCACCGTTGGCTACTGGAAGCAGTGTCGCCGTTCCAGAGTCTGTCGGAGGGTGAAGACACGATCGACGCATCCTTTTGCAGGCAGAACCCAACTTGGTTTTCACGGATGTCTCTCCCTGTGTTCAGTCAACTTTCGAAGGATAGGGCCAGAGAGCACCTTCAATGCCACGGTTGTTTTCACACAGCGTCCGCGTACCCTTTTTGAAGATAGGGTTAACTGTCGACACGCCCCATTCCGAAGGCGCCTTTTCTTCGTCCCATATAGAACCAATAAGCTTTGTCAGATGGGTAACCAGGGCTTGTCCGTCTTCTTTGAAGAGCGCTGCATACAGACCATCCAGTCCTGGTGCCTTGTCCCGTTTCAGTACGGGTATTTCGTACTTCATTTCTTCTTCCGACGGGCTATCAAGATTTACATTCCATTCGCCTGTTTGCATATATCCGCAGGCTGTGTTGCAGGAGGCCAGCTGAACTCTTTTTCAAAGTGTTCGACCCATCTTTCCAGTCAACGTCTTTGTGAGTGAATTAATGACCCATCTTTTTCACTTATCGTTTCGCTGATCGTTGCTTTCCTAGGGCCAGTCGATCGTATCAATTGATATAGGACACGGCTGTTTCCCGTAGCAAAAGCCTTCCCCATCTCCCGAGCTTTCGATGTCCACCTGAGCTCTCAGTCGTTCTTTAGAATCTTCACTATTTGGCGCTTTAGGTCTTTGGTTTGCAGTCGTTCTCGTTGCCTACTGATATGCTTTCCTGGCATCACTCCTGGATAGCGATCTCGACGACACCCAATGGTCTTGTGGTTGAATAGGAGGAGTCTGACAGACAGCATTGAACGCCGCTATCTTGCCACGCTTCATCCACACGTTTACTGTCGTCATAGTATTGGTTTACTGTGGAGTGTTGTTGGGTTAGCTCAGAGGGATACTGCTGAGCTATCCGCCTATGGATTTATAACTTCTGACGTCTGGGGTGCATCCTCGCAAACGCGTAGATATTTTTTGCCCATCGTATTCAGCGTAGTATTTATAACACTTCATGCAGGTGATACTGTGCGCAACACTGTTTCGCTAGTCTCGCCTTGTCCTTCGTTCTTGGAGTTGATTCCCCCAATGTAGCAACTAGTTTGTGGGCTATCTTGTTTCCCGTATGCGATTACGTCCAAAAATTCGGATTTTCCCAGAAACCTTAGATAGACTACCGGTTCACAAATTAGATGAGCTCGATGTGCTCAAGATTTCGGTTTGGTACAGGATTTTCGAGCACTTAACGGCGACAGTTTTTACGTTCGAAAAACATTTTAGCCACTGAGTTCCAATTTAGTCATGACTTAATGCGCTAGAACGGGACCTAAAATGGTATTCATCAATTTTGTACATAGTTTTCATGTCTGCTTGTCCTGGAATGATTCGCATTGCTGTCTTGTGCACGTGCTATTTGAAACCCAGCTGTAGCTCATGGGAAGAGTATTTTCACAAGTAAAAGTTTCATCACTCGAGGAACCAGTCAACACGCGACCACGTGATGTGGTTTCCGTGACTGAAGGATGAGTGACACTATTTCTGTCTAGATCAAGCTGATCAGGCTTCCGTGGCCGAACTGTCAAGCCGAGAAGTCGCGCTTTCGAAACTAACTTTTCGTGAGATGCACTCTGCTAGTGATTCCAAATAAGAACAAAACATCTGTGCAGTGCTTCTCTGCTTTCCGGCATATATTGGCTTCACTGACAGGACGGAATCCCAGATGTAAATTATCAAGTAGCCTACCTGTTGCGAAAGTAGAGTACTTCCAGGACGAGATTAGAAGAAAGACAGAACGGAAGGGTATAATGTACGC